CGTAACAGTAGGCCCTACGCTAGCTCTGATTGTAATAGCTCTAGTACTATAGCCCGCGTACAGTTGCCGCAAGGCTATAGAACGTAATATGGCAATTTCCAGTGAGTAAGCAAAGACAACTTTTTGCCGATAATAACTTCTTCGGTATGCAAAATAAAACACATTCTCTGCCGGACAAATGTCTTAAGTTACTACAAACACTAAAATTAAACTGCAAACTAACGGTTAAATGTTGTACTTGCTATATTACTCCTCGACGAAGATTGTAACTTGTAAACTTGTAACCGCCATTTTTCGTTAGTGAGCGGGCCCAATGTATTTCGAAGTGGAGGGGTGGGCAGGTTGCAAACCGCGCTAGCCCTGCGCAACAAAAAATGGCGGTTAAATCCGCGTGCAACGTGCCCACCCCTCCACTTGGAAATACATTGTGACCATGCACTCACTAGTGCCGGAACCGCGCGAGCGCTGCACAACGAGAAATGGCGGTTACAAGTTGATAAACAATCTTCGTCGACGAGTAATATCGCAAGTACAATATTTAAGCGTTACGTTAGTTTGTCTTTTCATTTTAGTGTTTGTAGTAACTTAAGACATTTGTCCGGCAGAGAATGTGTTTTATTTGGCATACCAAAAAAGTTATTATCGGCAAAAAGTTGTCTTTGCTTACTCACTGGAAATTGCCATATTACGTTCTATAGCGGTAACTGTACGCGGGCTATAGTACTACTACTACTAGTACTACTACTACTACTACTACTAGTACTACTACTAGAGCTAAGTCGTCAGTAGCCACTAAGCCAGGACCGAGTCGCGAGTGGACATCATGTCATGAATCATATTACTATTATTAGTAATAGTAATATGTAATAACAACACATAAAAGCAACGAGATAACGCTTACGCTTAATACTTGACTCTTTTACTAAAAGTGGTTTACACAGTTTCGGTGAGACTTCTGTAACTTCATCGTTTGATCAGCAACGAGAAACGTTTGTAAATTTTGCTCCCAATCTGCATTTGTTTATTAAATAACGGGACAGCGCCACCTAGCGTAAACCTAATCGGCAAGGGAGTTAGATGGGCTCCGTGCTTTTTTTAACTTAATCAATGGGGTTATGGAGACTAAATGAAGAGATATGGGACCCGTCTATAGTGATTGCGATCGAAGCGAAAGTTGAATTCTTTCTCTGTGCAAGTTTATACGGATTTTATAACGCTGTGTACGCTTAGAAGGCACGTTTTCTTGCAGAGATGGCCGAAGAAGTACCGTTCGATTTTCTACACATGGAAATGATCAATTTTGTTTTCAATCCACCTGATGATTCGAAGAAAGAGGTGAAGGTACAGGAGCCCGTACGGTGCAAGCACAGCCACAGGCACTTGCCGACTGACGCGTTTCATATAGAATATGGTGTAAAGCGATAGAGGACGGACCGGAGTTGATGTGAGTGGCGAATTGTTAAGCGGGAAATGCAGCAGCTAAGCTGGCGACCTTGGTGGTAGTACGCGATGGGAGAGGCGGGGCGGGGTGACCGCATTTACCTGGTAAGCCAAGACGCGTATTTAGTGTCCAATCATCACTGGTTACTAAGAATATCCAATTGAAATCCGCCGGCGTCAAATTAAATCCGTTGTTGACAGTTACAACCGCCATGGCCCCGGCTTGACACCGGCTGCTCTACACCGGCGAGCGGTGTCATACAGATGATAGTTGCCACCGCGACATTTTCAGCACGTATGCTCGCGCCGCTGCAGTGATTTCGGACTGGCCGCTTGTCGTCTGAAGTGCGCATTCCGTACGTTATGGTTTTACTCTTGGGATTCGGGAATAAATGTATATATACGAAGATCTTGAGATTACAAGCAACATATAATATGTGAAAAGGATATGCCGTCACTGCCGTCACTAGGCAAACAATTTACCCGGGACAAACAATTCGATGCTCAACATCCTGTAGCAACATGTGAGGTCACCGAACCGAAATCGATGTTTATTTTGTTGGCAATAAATTTAGCGTTGGCGCCAGATTACCGAATTTACGGATTTCAATTAGACATTTCTTAGTAATTAGCAGTGATATTGGACAAACTAATACGCGTTTGGCTATAAGGTAATGTACTTATTAACTACACAAGGTGCCAGTTACTGTAGCATTCGTCAACTTTGCATAATCGATGGAAATATTATGCCTTTAATAAATACAGCTTGTCAGTACTAGACCTACCAGTACCAGTACCAGTGGCAGTAATACTAATAGTAATAGTCTTAATGTTTGATTTGACCTAATAACTTTACTTCAACACCGTCCAATACACCGCTGCAACACATAGCGCGCACGCCATTGTGCATGCACAAATACACGTAACATAGTGATATAGAGTGATACACACTCTATATCACTGTTAGATACAATAATGTAACCCAAACCCAGGATAGGGTTACAATGCGTCGCTATGGTTTTCTGTGGAGGAAATTCAGGGAACCCCTGAGTGAATCACTCAGGGCGGTTTGCTGGTGCGTTTTCAGAGACTAGAACTTCCAAACTGGGTTTATTCTCAACACGAACCTTTCTCCGCTACCTTGGAACTTACTATGTATCACAATACTCTGTATTAAACTAATATAACCTGTTACAAAAATTCGAAGTGACGAGCGGCGGATATTTTGAGCGCCATTTCTGTTGACCTGTGACGTACGCATTCCCTATGCGCATAGCGATCGGCAATCGCAGCGCCCTCCGATTGGTCGGTGAATCCGCTCTTCAAACCGAAGTACGTCACAGGTCAACAGAAATGGCGCTCAGTATAATCGCCGCTCGTCACTTCGAATTTGTGTAACAGGTTATATTAGTTTAATACAGAGTATTGTGATACATAGTAAGTTCCAAGATAGCGGAGAAAGGTTCGTGTTGAGAATAAACCCAGTTTGGAAGTTCTAGTCTCTGAAAACGCACCAGCAAACCGCCCTGAGTGATTCACTCAGGGGTTCCCTGAATTTCTTCCACAGAAAACCATAGCGACGCGTTGTAACCCTATCCTGGGTTTGGGTTACATTATTGTATCTATATCACTGTGTATTTGTGCATTCACAATGGCGTGCGCGCTATGTGTTGCAGCGGTGTATTGGACGGTGTTGAAGTGAAGTTATTAGGTCAAATCAAACATTAAGACTATTAGTATTAATGATACTGGTACTGGTAGGTCTAGTACTGACAAGTTGTATTTATTAACCATCATTTCATTATTGAAACGGTCCAAGTGCCTGTGGGCGCAAGATGTCCAGAGATGTCCAGATTTAGACCTATGTCATTTTCGTCAATGCGATACTACTGATACTGATAGCACTCAGTAGTGTGTCACTGTGTCAGTGTGTTAGCTATAGCCGCGTTCACACGGAGCGTTCGTCCTGGGTCGAAAACGATCCGAGACTGACCCGGGTCAAAAACGACAGAGCGTCGTTGAAGAGAGCGTTCACACGACTTTGATCGATCAGTTCTAGCTGCGAGTTGAAAAAAAGCAATGCATCCAAGCGAACAATGCGAATTAAACAATCAACGCACAACAACTCTGTGTAAACTCTGGCTCTCGACACTGGCGACGTCTACCGCCGTACTCATTCTGACCCGGGTCATGTGCCGGTGCGCGTTCACACGGCACAAATGAACCAGCGTTTGGGTCGTTTTCGACCCAGGTCATTTTCGTACCGAGAAAAAGTCCGTGTGAACGCTTGGCCCAGGACGCATTTGACACAGGTTGTTTCGCTCCGTGTGAATGCGGCAATTATCTGAGACTGTAGCCGTACAAGTTACCTCCGCCCTTCCCACTACGTGGCCGCGAGACCGTCAATTATACTTATTCGTTATAGTTATAGTCCCTTGATATATCTTGTCCCTCAGACTGTAAAGACTATTCTTTATGAGGCTCTGCAATGTGAGAGCAAATACTACACAGTACACTGTCTATAGTATGAGTAGTTTTGAATGTTATCTATTTTCTCTCGTTACTGAAGAAAATCTCTCATTTATTCTTGTCTTAGATCCCCTCAGTAATTTTCCTCAGTCATAACTGCCAGGTACTCCATTTTTATGTGTAATAATACTGACATATACTGCATGACTCCCCCTGCACTCGCATAACCTAATTCCATAAACTATCCACACATGATATTGATTATTGTATAAAATTCATTCATAATACACCAACAGTGACAGACTATATTTGTGCTTTGTGGTGTACTAGCCCTACTGGTGTTGCCAATTGACTGTATATTATCAAGAGCTTATAATACCTTATTATAAGCTCTTAATTGATATTAAAAGAAGTTAATGGAGGGGATGCTTCAGATATATATGGCTTATCAATAATGCTACATGTTAAATATTAACAGGATGAATCTCTATTACAGACAGAAGAGGGAATGACAACCCTGGAATCATTAGGGTTCAGGGTTGGCCAAGGCCTAGTTGAAAGGTGTGTATGTTGTGTTGTTCAATGATAATGTCTGTGATTTATGCAAAATATCTATACTACTACAATAACGAACTCTGTCTGTCTGTCTGCTATGCATTCTGCTGTTTATTGGTTTAGGATGCCCGAAATTGCCACACTGTTAGGTGATCAGCTATAGGGGCACTTAAGCACATTTAAAAAGATACACTAAAAACTACTATTTAAAAAAAGTAAGTAAAATATCAAAAGTACGAACACTTCGAAATGGTTGTTAATTGTTATCGTAGCACGCAGTGCATGTTGGGATTGCTCGAAGCACGTTCTGGGATAGTGCCCACTAATGACATCACTAGTGCAGGCACTGCCAGCGAAGCATATTCATAATAACTTGGTGCAATTTCATAACAATGTATTTCCAGAATCTTTCGACTACATAAAATCATAGAATCTTTTAAACTGCTTTTGCCAGAATATTGTTTACCCCTTTATATTTTGTTTCTCTATTACGACTATTGTTATAATTAAAGAGACCCATGACCCCATGTTACTTGCATATTTTCAGTTAAAATAGGTTTAAATTACACTACATAAAAAAATTTATTGTTCAATATTCATTAGAAATATTTTCTTTTAATGTTTTAAAACTAACGGCTTTATCGTTGCTTAATGACGGTGGCGCAACGGGGGCAGCCCTATAGACCGAAGGTCCGATAGACCGAATATTGCAAAGGGTTAGGGTTAGGGTTAGGGCATATATATGGTTTATAGTGGCATTAAATATGATTTATAGTGGCATCGGTGGATGTGCGGCATATTCACGTTTGAATACGGCATCAGTGGATGTCCGGATGCGTAGCCTGGAGGCTAGGCGACCGATTCTGGACGTGTAGCCACTGCGTATTCGAATAAACCTTCGGTCTATCGGGCCTTCGGTCTATCGGACCTTCGGTCTATAGGGCTGTAACCGGCGCAACTACTAGTCAATTTACTATATCTATATAATATCTACCATAATAGGTCAAACTTGATTTCAGGTTAACCAAAGATTGTCCAAGATTTAAAGATGAGCTTGACACCATGAAATTTATCTGCAAGGATTTCTGGACATCTGTTTACAAGAAACAGATAGACAATCTACGAACAAATCATCAGGTTTGTTTTTGTTATAAGGAGGTCCTTCTTATCAAGAGCTTATAAACCCTAGAGTGAACAACAATAGTAAAATCTGCAAACTATGTCTAGTTTCACTGTAATTCAATAACATGATTATGCTGTCCGGTATACCGGAACGTACCCTGGTAACTATCTGATATGGTTAGGGAGTAGGCGTAGGCGACTCCCTAGACTTGTTAGTGGAGTAAGCGAGGTACGGTCCGGCATATTAGATAGTACCAGGGTACGTTCTGGCAGTACCCAGGGAGACATAGACCCTGGCAGCACTGAGGCTACATTTTTAAGTCTGACTGTGCAGGCACAAACTGTTAGTGATGGTAGCTGATGCCTTCTGAGAGTATGATTATAAGATTACACACATTTTACAGATCTTATTGTGTCTATGTTATGTAGAAAAGCCTTTCATCGTCTACACTATTATTCTGCAGATAATTCTCTCGGTGTAATGAAGCATGAATAGATAAGAATACCTCGTTGATATAATATTGAATAGGCTGTGGATAACTGTATAATCATTCAACTTCTTATTGGCAAAAGCGGGTACTGAAATAGCTACGTGAAGATAATGCAAGTGTTTTTATATGCTGCAGGGTGTATACGTTCTACAAGACAACAAGTTTCGTCTCCTGACTCAGATATCTATTGGGAAGCAATACATAGAAATTGCACCTAGGGTGGGTGAAACACTTTGAATATGTTATATTGTACTGTAACTTATAGAAAAGTACTTCTATAATAATTTTGATATTAATTTATTTCTGGAAATCAGAAATATGCATGGATTATGACAAAAAGTAATTTATAACTTTCGTGCTTTCACTATGAACAAGTTTAGATGGAAATATTTTCATTTACTTTGCAGTTTTTGTCTTTTACGTGTGGACTGATACGGGGAGCTTTATCCAATTTAGGCATAACAAGTGTGGTGACTGCAGAAGTTATCACCATGCCTGCCTGTAAGTAAGGAAGCACCACGTATGCAATATGTGTATCTTATGCCACGTTTACACGACATTTTATAAGCCAGATTATTATTAAGCCGTTTCAATAATAAACCATCTTATTATTAGCAACCTGTATACATGGTGAATAATTGAGCTGGAACATTAGAAAGCTGACTCAAGATGGCTTAAAAAGTACCAAGTAAACCTGGTACAGCGCGCAACGCTTCGAGGCTCCGATGGGTGGCAACACATAACCTCACAATGCGTGCTCAACGCCACTATCGCAGATCGTTTTGAATTGGCCAGTTTTGGATAAGAATGGTCATTTACACTGTAATGTTACGCTGATTTGTAGTTTTGATCCGGTTTGAAATCACCTCATCGAGCTGGTTAAAAAATGAACTAGCTCAAGCCTTCTTGACCCGTTTTCACTGAAAAATAATAAGCCGGCTCATTACTAAGCCTGCCCAATTCGGCTTAAGAAGTGCCGTGTAAATGGGGTATTGGTTTAGAAACATAAAACGCACATGAAATATGCAATAATGCAGATACTGTTATGTGCTTTGTTATTAAAAAATTTCTTTATTTCAGGCAAGTTCCAGATCCAGATACCAAGGACATAACAACAGTTAAATAATGTCTAACAGATTTTAATCCACGAATGAATTAATGTTGCTAGTGTTCATTGAGGCTAAACTGAGGGTTGTTGAAGTGTAAATATTTATTTGTATATAAAAATGTGCAAGATGACGAATTACAGTTAAGGATTACCATAATTGTATGGATTCTCTATTTTTAGTTTGCATTTCAAATTCTTTTGTGTTGGGTGTAATACCATCCATATCATAGGTATTTCATGCGATTTCTTTCTACAAACTTGTTTTCAAGTTTCTGTGGAAATGTGCACAGCCTCTGCATTTAGATAAATGTGTATAAACTGTGTTTAATTGGAATTATAATAATAATATAGGTGTACCCCTGTTTAAGGAATAACTAAAATAAGATTCACGTTTTTAAGTTTGTCCTAATGTTACTAACGATCAAGATGTCCTGCTAGGCTTTCATCGCTAAGGATTGCATACCCTATGCAACGGAAAGCCGAGCTTAATTTAAGGCTATTAATCTAAAATATTAAGTAGTATTAAATAAACAATCTATTTCAAAGGCAAACTGTTTTCTATATTATTCTTGGGAACCACATGTGCAAAACCAAATGTTGATTTAACATGCATGTATTAGAAGGGTCATAGACCCTCTCAGCCTTACTAGACGATCTGCAGCCCGGATATACGCGCGAAGCGCGAACAGCGCCGCCTCGCGGCGCCTTTTGATCCAATTCGCTGGCCTGTCTCTATGTAAGAACAACTCTCGAAGCCCTCTGGTACTACAAAAGCGCACATAATCGTCAATGAGAGTTGATGGGGATTCTCAGAAAGCTTTCGACTCTGAACTTAGGGGAGAATTAAATCGCTGAGTGCTCTGTAATGTGGTAGTTTTAATGGTGGGCGCTATAGTATTTGCCTAGTAGAACTAAGCGATTTTAAAATTTATTGAATATTTATACCGCCCTGAACTTATTCTCGTAACATATTGGCGTCCATAATGGCACGACTGAGGCTCTCTATCGAGGGATTTTTCCACAGAGTTTCACAACAAGGACCGCGCTGATTTCGGCTTAGACTGCTAGCGCGGTGGAGAAGTTTTCGAGCGCATCACTAAATATTATAACGTTGGTGTACCGACGAGAACAGATTGGCGAGTTACGTGGCGTACGAGTCTAGCTCGAATCAGTCAGCGTCCCAAGGTGTATATTATCGTAGCCATCTACGGACCTCGCAGGCCTTCAGTGAATTGATGGGTTGTTTTTTTTAAACTGAAAAGAACTGCCACTGCACTGCGGCTACTGACACAGCCGCCACACTGACACACAAAATATATATATTGCACATGTTTTAGAGAAGACGGCGGAGCGGCACATTTCCAGCCTCTCCTCCCCCGCGCTCACGTGAGGCTGCTCGGGGAGTATTTTGCCGCCGCGGACTTTCGTAGTAAATAGATCTTGTAATTTTAATTTAGCATTACATTTTATTGGAAACGGCATGCAAGTAACAGTGCAGTTGCGTGCTGGCTGGTCTGCCGGCAGCATTGATCATGTTAATAGATACCTTATTAACCCGTTGGCGCACCAGAGCGAGCGAGAGCCGAGTAGAGCATGAGAGAGAGACTGAGACTTGTGGGGATGCGGGAGAAAGACGAGAAGATAGTGGGAGAACGCCAGATAAGGTACGAAAATACGGCAGGTGCGGACAGTGGTACGACGGCGAGAATGTACAAACGCGCTGTCAATCCATAATCGGCAAAGCCCCCCCTTCAAAGCCGATGTACGCGAGGATGTACGTGTCGCGCAAAACGCCGATTGTAGGCTCCGCCCTATACGCCATTTCGCGCAGCCCTCTTTCGCGTCAATGCGGTAGTATAGCGGGGATAGTATTAGCTATACATCCGCGTAGTTCGCAGTTGCGCCCAGTCCCGGCGAAGTCGCGGCTTAACAGGCGCTATTTCGCGGTCGTGGAACAACGATCTTTGCGCAAGGCCATCTGTATCCGGTCAGCTCTGAGATAGCAATACATAAAACGTTATTATAATTTATTCAAGTTTATTGTATGAAGCTGGTGTGGATTATTTTTCAGATGATAAATATGAAAGTATGCTTATGTTCATTGCTGCCTTAAATGACTATTAATATCTATTCAATTATTTATTTACAAGCAGTAGCTAGGTGACTAAAGCGGCAAAAACAGAATTCTATTTATTAAGCCGCAAGGCATAAGAAACCCCTTTCACATTGAGTTTCCTATTTTGGTGAAAAAATAACTACACAATAGACAATTACCATCTATGAACAAACTACTAAAAATTATATCCGACCATTCAACCGCTTACAAACAGTGAACCTACTGATCCACATATCTATGTTATCTTTTCCAAGTCTAATAACAGTCGATGCATATTACTTCGAGCATTTTAGCATACTTATAAAATATATTATCATATATAACAGTCGTTTGCAAAACCGTGCATGAAGTAAATATAAAAATCAAGTGATTATATTTTCAAGGATGGGCTATTAAAAGATTGTAAGCCTCGCTGATAGGCATGTCAGATATAGATTTCTATTTTGATTCCTGATATGAATAGTTACAAATGAGGCTACTATAAACACGAATCCAAAATACCATTATAGTGGCCTTTCTTCAAATTTTACAAGGTCATTGAGTCCCAGTTTTTAATCCACCTCTAGTATAATTATAATATATTAGATATCTTTCTTAAGGTATAAGTTGCTGCTTTCCAGTATTTCTGTTGAACGAAAGGAATGGGCATCGATGCTCTGTTAGTATTCACGTGATCGGCCCTTTGAAAAAGAGTGGAATTTCACATCGCGGAAGCAAATTTGATCAACCAGATTTATGCCTGTTCCGCTTTGATCGTAATGTTAAAGTAAACCTGCATGTAAATGCCATAAAATGCAATGTATCACATTAATCACCAATCATTTCTTAAAAGTCAATTTCATATTATGTATAGGACACAAGAAGTATTATTACTATTGTTATGCAGAAACTATGACAAATTAGTTAAAATTAGTAAGTCATGTCCCTTTTCAGAAATGCCATTTTTAATGACAGGAAAACGTTCAGAAGTTCGGTTTACACAAAAAATAATTTCTTTATTGTAATCAACAACCAATATCAATCAAGCTTAGATATGTCAATACAACGAATACCTTCCTGGCCTATTAATACACATTGATAATAACACTTTCACACCTCTGCTTTAAATAGGCCAAGAGAGTAGGAAGTCATCTTCCACATCCATGATAGACAAAATATATAAAGACACGTAAGGTTGTCTTTGGTTCTCCATCACCGTGCAGGTTACGCCGACCACACACCTTGTACCCATATCCTGCTGCAGATGCAATACTACAGTATGTTTACGCCTACAATTTACAGCACTCTAAACTAAGCTGTATTTACTTGATCATTAGTTGCATAACGTAAAGATTGGCAGTTACAAAGAACGCCTATATTGATCAATATAGCTTCATTTTTTGGCGTTAACTCAATAAGTGACGAGGGAAGAAAGACTGTGGCAAAGGACTGTACCGGGAAAGAAGACAACATAATAACTGAAAAGAATGATACGGGAAAACATTGTACCTTATTAAAAAAACGTAACGATATTGACTGAATGGAAAGTTATAGACCATATGGTCATCAAGCACTGAGCAAGCCAAACTGAGCAATCGACAAGTACGTGACTCCCTTATTTGAATGGGTTGGAGATCCACCTGAAAGGGGGATCTGGACTGCGGGATAATACCTAGGACCAATGAGTCTGGACTTACCATGTCTAAACCCACTTTCAATTTTCTACGTATAATGGCCCTTGTTACCTATTTGGCATGTTTTTTTGTTTCATAATTCGATTTTTTAGTTTTATGGTTTTGATTTTTATCACATATAACATTTCACGGATCGAATGATTTGATTCACGGATCGAATGATTTGATTCACGGATCGAATGCTTTGATTTACGGATCGAATGCTTCGATTTACGGATCGAATAATGCGATTCACGGATCGAATGCTTCGATTCACGGATCGAATAATGCGATTCAGAGTCGCATGGTTCGATGCAGTGCGTGCAGGAGGGATCTACATAATACAAAAAATACCGTAGTGGTTATTCGCACCGCGCCGGTGCGGATAACAGAAAATGTGTTCTTATTCGCACCGTGGTGAATTCGCAGTGCACACGCAAGCGGAAGTTAACTGATAGCCTTGTCCACTGAGCTCTATCATAGATTTTTATTTTTTATATTTTATATTTTATACATGTTGAAAGGCCAAGGAGTGCCAATATTAAGCAGTTAATATGTATTTGCAAGGGAGAAAATAGAGGAAGAGGGACGAGGTATTTGAGGAGGGGAGAAGGTGGTACAGGAAGAAGGAGAGAAGGTAGAGAACGAGGGAGAAGGTAGTGGGGGAAGGAGGGGAGAAGGGGTGGAGGTAGAAGAGGTAGAGGACGAGGGAAAGGGTAGTGGAGGAGGGGGAGAAGGTGGTGAGGGAGGGAGGGGGTCGAGGTGGTAAGTGAGTGAGAGGGAGGGAGGGGTCGAGGTGGTGAGTGAGTGAGAGGGAGGGAGGGAGGGATCGAGGTGGTGAGTGAGAGGGAGGGAGGGGGTCGAGGTCGTAAGTGAGTGAGAGAGGGAGGGGGAGGGAGAGAGGGAGTGAGCGATCGAAGCATCTTGTGCTCACCGGCCGGCCCGCAGAATGCACAATATATAATTATTTACATTTACATTTTTGTAATTTTGTTTTATTATACTTTTAATGTGGGGTTCTTGGGTGAGAAATTGTTATTTGTGTAAGCCTATGAATATGCATGCTGCCGAACTTGTTTTTCTTTTCTTATGCGATATATGTAGGTGCGGTATTGAAGTCAAAAGTACAGAAAGTTTACATTTTTGGTTGATTTAATTTTAGACTAAAATTAATGTTGGTTTCTTTTTTTATGTAATAAAATGACTTTGTACACAAATATATCGTACGTCTTATACTGATTATAATGAAACATGCACCAAAATGATTTTGTAACCCATGATTACCCAAGATATCATACGTTTAATTGAGATAAAAAGAAAAAATTTGTCAAATAGCACTTATTGAATTTTTTAAGCAGCCCGGTCTATTTTGCTTTTCTTTGTATCACATCTACATAGTTTGGCGAACTTATATTAGGACCCATGCCTGCACATTCTCTGCTTCCCTCCTAGGCCGCCAGTAATAACAATCCTCAGCAATAATTCGCGGGCGATTAAAGTTGTTGTTAGATGGCGCGTATCGTTGTCCCTGGAGATCGGCTGCTGAGCAGCACGAGTTCGCTCTCTTCTACGCGTGCACCCCTGACGAACGGAACAGACGTGTTCGCACCATAGAACTAGAATAGAAGTTCTATTCTAGTTCTATGGTTCGCACATTCTCTTGTGACGAAGGGGTGCGCGTGAAAGCCGGCGAATTCATGTAGCACTTTAGTTTACCTTTTACTGTGCCCCCCATTAGCAAGCCCCAAGCAGGGGAGACGTGATTATGATTATTTTACTGTGATCAATAGAACGGAAAGGAATAGTTTTTATAAGTAAATTCGACGTTTGTGTTTGTAAGCTGTTCGGCTGTATGGCGTGGTCGAGGCGAGATAGCGTCGACGTCACGATGCAATAAACCGAAGTGTAGTTGACTCTCGTCTTCTCTCTCTCTCTCTCTCTCTCTCTCTCTCTCTCTCTCTCTCTCTCTCTCTCTCTCTCTCTCTCTTCATCTCTCTTCTCATCTCTCTCTACTATCTGCTATCCTCTCGTCTCTCGTCTCATCTCCTCTCCTCTCTTCCTCATCTCTCTCTCTCCGTCTCTCTCTCTATCTCTGCTGTCTCTCAATCTCTCTGCTCTGAACTCATCTCTCCCCTCGCTCTCCCCCTCTCTCATCCTCAATTCCAGATCTCTCGTCTCTCTCTATGCTCGCTTGCCTCTACTCTCTGCTCGCTCCGGCTCACCACGCTTCAGACACTTCCGCCGCACATACGCCCCGAAGGCGGCACAGGACAGCCATGCTCCTGGTAGACGATTTGTTCGGAGGTTCTGTATCGAGCTCTCTTATTCGTGGGCCGGACACAGTAGAAGCGTAAGAACATAGAATAATCGTTCACAATAGCACTAGCTTATTGCCTATAGGACAATGCTATTTTTGGCGGTACATAGAACACAGCTTGATGTATAATGGCCCTAGGGTGGCATATAGAGAGGAAGAGATTTTCGAAATACATTAACAATTAAAACTCCGAGTTGTGACCGCCCACGGGCTGAATGGCAAGATAAATAGGAAAAACTGAAAATCCGAAATATCGCATGCACCCGCCGCGGTGGCGAACAACAGAAACCGTGGTTCTTATTTGGCACCCGCCGCGGTGCACATAAGAAAAGCACCTAGGGAGAAAATCTAATTCGCACCGCCGCGGTGCATATATATACTATATAAGAAAACTGAACAATCGAATTCGCCCTCGCCGCCGCGGTGCATATATATGAGAATATTAATAGCTTTGTTTTGCAATATGTTTTAGCATGTATATAAGTAATCACTAGAATTAAAGATAATTAAGAAAGAGAAAGAAAACACGATAGCTTGTAGTTGTGTTTTTTCAGCGGGAAATTTGATCGTAATCGCCGACGTGCGCTGTGTGATGTGTTTGGGTCTGTTGAGGCGATCGACGAGTAGATCATGATAGACTGTAACCAGAGCCGTACCCAGATGCGAGCAGTTTCCAATCTGCCGCAACACCTGACATGTCACTGCTAATAAGATTTGACATAGCGGAACTGCGAACAAATTACGATCATTCACACAGTCTAGAAACGACAATTGGTCAACGATTAACATCCTTTGCTATCAATAGACGTCGGTTCGCGCGGTCGTCGCGCGCGCGGCGCGTTGTGTGTGGGTGTTGTGTGTGTGTGTGTGTGTGTGTGTGTTGTGTGTGCGTGCGTGCGTGCGTTGCGTCGCGTGCGGCGTGCGTGGCGGTGCGTGCGTGCGTCGTGTGTGTGTGTCAAGAAAGCGGAATTATTATAATGTCCCATTTTGCTATAGGCGTACATGATTGTTAATGGCTCAAGTGATACTATACCGTGATTAGAAAATCAGGTATAGCTTAGTATAGCGTAGTACATGTATCTATGCGGAGCATGGTCTTCGCAAGTAATTAACCGGGGTTACCTTTGTTTTGAGATTGGTTTTTTTGCCGACTAACCGTTTATCAAACGAGATTTGCCATGCAAAGTATAATAACACGGCAACTTCAGCGGTATTAAACGATATAATTTTCATTCACTGCCGCACTCCTAATTCGCCTATTTCTGGCCTTTAACAAAAGCACAAAGATCGTTTTTCTAAGGTGGCTTTCGCATATGAGGCACTGTGGCACCGCACTCCCCTCCCACACACGGCCGCAACACCATACACAGTCCAAAAGCCTGTGTCTGGCGTCGCGTGTGACAATTTTACTGAGCATGCGTAAATTGTTCTATATCTATGCGACATGCTACTCATCATATCTATTACTCTGTATACGTGGTAGTCATTTGTCGCCTACGCCTTATTTTCGGTTGCTTTCGGCAGCTACATACAGCCTACATAGGATATCATTTTATGCGGCACTTACTGAATTGCTGCAAAGTGCAGCATTATTATTAACTTGAATTGCGCAAAATTTCACAGTTTTTTTAAAACAGTGTAATCCTAACCGAAATATAAAGCTTGTTTAACTGGCTAATGTTTTTTTGGGGCAGGTAAGATTTCAGCAGTCACCATAGACGAGGTGAACATCTCATCATCACTGATTCAATGGAAGTCATAGACCGGTACGTTTGGCAGTCACGACACACGCGCCCTACGCAACACGGCACAGGACGCAAAACGCGCGCGCGGCGCACTTACACACAGACTCTCATAGACACAGCAAATCAACATCCTACAGGCAGGCATGGATGCAGCGCACGCTACGCGCAAATACAACAAACACAAATATGGTGAAAGTAAGCGTTTGAGTGAGCAGTGAGCAAGTGAGCGTGGCTCGTTTGAAGTGAGAGTGCGATGTGAGAGTGAAGAGTGAGTGTGGGAGTGAGAAGTGAGGCAGTGAAGGAGGAGAACAGCAGCATGGAAATAGCAAGAATAAGAAAGCCAAAGAGAGAGAGAAACGGGATGAGAGAGGCGAGCAAAAGTGGGTGCGTACGCGTGAGCGCTGAGCGTGAGCGTGTGTGATGTGTGCGTGTCGTGTGTGTGCGCGCGTGTGTGCGTGGCGTGTGTGTGTGTGGTGTGGGGGGGGGGGTAGCTATAGAAAAGAGAAGCGAGTGAGTGAGAGTCTGCGAAGACGGTGTGTGCCAAGAGACAGTGAGTGTGTCGTAATGTGTGTGTGTGTGTGTGTGTGTGTGTGTGTGTGTGTGTGCTGTGTGGGTCGGTGTGTTGTTGTGTGTGTGTGCATGGTGTGTGTGTGTGTATGTGTGTGTGTGTGTCGTTGCTGTGTGTGTCGTGTTGTGTGTCTGTCTGTCCTGCGCCCTGTCTGTCTGTCTGTCTGCTCTGTCTTTCTGTCTGTTTATCCTGTCTTATCCTGTGCCTATCTGTCTAATCTGTCTATCCTGTCCGTATCTGTCTATTCTGTCTATCTGTCCTATCTGTCTTCTGTCTATCTGCTCTGTCTTATCTGTCATCTGTCTGTCTCGTCTAATCTGTCCTGTCTGTCTGGTCTATCTGTCCTGTCTGTCTGTCTGTCTATCTGTCTGTCTGTTTCTATCTGTCTGTACTGTCCTGTCTGTCTATCTGTCCTGACTGTCTATCTATCTATCTGTCTGTTCTGTCATCCTGTCCTTTCCTGATCTCTAGCTGTCCTGTCTATCTGTACTAATCTATCTGCCATATCTATCTATCTGTTTTTATCTGTACTGTCTATCTATCTGTCTCTTTGGGCGTGGCGTGCGTGCGTGAGTGCGTGCGTTTGCGTGCGTGGTGTCGCAGAATAGGCGACGCGAGAGTAGAGTTTGTATGGCGTGTGCCTTATGTGTAAGAGGTGCAAAGATAGCAAACGTGTGCATGGCACTGCCGCTCGTCCACTTTGGGCTCCCACACACGCGAACACATACACAGTCTAAAAGCCATGTGTCTCGTGCGTCGTGTAACATTTTACGGACTATGTAAATTGTTCTAATCATCTATCACACTATCATCATATCTATTGCTCCGTAATACTGGTAGTTATTCGTCGCGCTTACCTATTTTCGTTGGGCTTTGCGGCAGTATCATACAGCTACATAGATATCATTTTACTGGGCAGCTTACTGATTACTACAAAAGTGCAGGGCATTATTGCTTCAACTTGAATTGCGCAGAAATTTCATATAGTGGTTTTTAAACAGTGTAATCGATAAAACCGAAATATGAGCTTGTTATACTGTAGCAATTTTCTTACTGCAGTAAGGATTTCACAGTACCGATGAAGAGCTGAACATTCTCATGCGTCACTGCTTGAATGCACGGCAGAGATGGTAGTTGCAGTCCCAGCACCGGCACCAACACCGCGCTGCACACACACACAGCACATGACGGCATGCAACGCTAGAACCGTCAACGCACATACGAATGCATGCACGCACCGACGCCACATAGATATGCAGGCGCAAACGTGGCATATACACGAACGTATACCGAACCAGACGCGCGTGCGCACACAGCACTGATGCACGATATTTAGTATTCATAGTTCATTGACCAATTCTCCCAGTAACCCTTCGGCACCAATCGCTAATACCAGATCATCTGATTTCGAGAACCGTCGAGATCTATTCGCAGGTAATCTACACATTCCGGAGCAGCCTTTGTGGCATGCAAAAAGCACAAGTAGACTGCTGGAAAACAATAAGTTGTCAGGCCAAGCGATAACAAATGCTGTTTTACGTATTATGCCAGCCACTACCCCCCTCCATATTGTTTGCAAACATGTTTAT